TACTTTCGTTATTTATTTAAACATATTGACCATCTCTTCGTAAAATGATCTTTGAATTCAAAATTCGAATAGATATAGAAAAAAATTTACTTCGCGTTAGAGTGATTTTCGTCATATTCCTCGATAAATTAAAATTTATAATATGGATAAAATTAAGTAATTAATAATTAATTAAAATTTTTTCCTGAAAAACCGATCGCGAAAACCGACCGCGTAAACCGACCGCGAAGATGCGTGTAATTGTGCATGTCGTTCATGCGATACGCATCTTGACAATACATATTATATATCAAATCAAATATAGAAAATATGAAAAATAAATGGATAGGTTACATGTCGAGCCAAAAAAATTTGCTCGACAAATACAGCAAGACTATATTTGCCAAGCCATATTTTGTGTAATTTTTGCAACAACTCAAGATGGAAAGTGAATTCAACATATCGTAATATGAGCAATAGAGTTTCATCAGATTAAAAGAATGTAAAAGAAAATTAAAGGCCCTGCTGCAGGAAAGAATGAATCCCAGATCTTCCGGATTATCTCCGATAGCGGTCATTTCGGCAGGGAGTTAGCGACGATCGTTTCTCAAATCATGCAATCTCGTATATTTTCAGTTTTATTCAAATAAAAATTATTCTTCCATTATTAGTGTTAATGGGAGAATATTTATGGAGAAGGATATATACACATAAACTCTCTTCTCTTCTTTTTTTTTACTAATTTCGCGAATCGACGTCGCGCCCTCGTGCCAAAACCGTTGCTTCCGGATATCCGTGACAACGAAAACCAGGGATTAACTCTGGTTCTCCAACAAGGTTATCAATCTTAAATGGACAATGGAAAAGTTTCATAAACTAACCCAAAGTCATATTTCGCGTAATTTTTGTTTCTAAAACTCTCTACCACTCAGTTCCGATATGTTGAATATTTTAAATAAAACATTAAATGCCGTAATTATTTTATCATTATCACCTATCCATTTTCAGGAAATGAATCTACGAGATATATTTTACTACGATCTACTATCTACAATCTACTATCTACAATCTACGATTTAAGAGGTGTAGATTCGTTTCCTTAATAAACAAAATTCGCACTCACCGACCCGACGCGCAGCAGCGGAGTTGTTGTCTATCTGTATCTGTAACACAAATATAAAATTTATATTAAAAAAACAGTGTTTAACAAAACCAATTTTGCAAAATATAATTTCAACGCGTATCTAACTTTTTATTCAGTTAGATTTAAATATCGTGAAAGATTTTCCGCAAAAGATCTTTATCTTAATTTTTTAATTATTTTAAAATTATGGTGAAATAAAATGACTCAACAATAAACCGGAAAACATTAATTTTACAAAACAGGAAAAATAATATTTACCATAAAGTTGCTCCGCCGGCGCCTGAAGCCTCTCCGAGGCCTCCTCCTCCACTCAAATTGTCCTTCGGGACTCCTTCTGGGACTCTTCCAGCAGTCTGTAACATACAATTACAAAATTCATGTTAAAACAGTGATCTCTTTCCAATTATTATTTTTAATTGTGGTAAGATATAACGACAGACCGGAGAAAGATAAATTTTATACGAAATGAAAAGTATTTACCTCAAAGATGCTTCGACGACGCCCGATGCCTATCCGAAGCCTCCTCCTCCTCTCAGACTGTCCTCTGGCACACTCGCGAAAGACCGTTCGCGCGATTCTACACTCCCGGTTACAAAGCTTTACTGCGATTATTTTATACGGCACTCCCGAACGCGATGGGTACCTTTGGTTGTCCCGTCTTTAGGGTCTGTACTCTCTAAAAATTAATCAGTGCATCATTACTGTAAATCAGTGAATATTCATTGTTTTCAGTAATAAACCACTGAGTGATTTTTAGAGAGTAATCCTTCAGGGTACTTAAGCCCCTCCACCACGACAAGGTAGTACCCGAGGAGGGGATTATCAACAAGAAACTGTGCAATTACATATGTGTGTATATAGAAAAATGAATATTGGATGAACATAAATTAAAGTTGCTATTTAATGCACGACGTGAGAGATTCATCCAATCGAAAGATTAATTCACACTCTCGATCTTGGGACAAAATCAATTTATCAATAATGCCTCATAAACTAATAATCCGAGATGAGCCATTCTTATCTCGTTAGAAGCGCTGAAATCTTAGCTTTCTAACGAGACCAAGATCATCTTCCTACGATTTTTCTGTGCGAAGTTATTGACATTTATATCGACTCGCGATCTTAATCCTCATTCAGAAGCAGCAGACGGCGCGTATATGCGGCGAACAGGTGTTCCTCGTATGTTTTTATGCCAGTTTTTTGGGGACGCTCGCGTACTACTCGCGTAAAATTCACGTGGCCTTCTTTTATGAATGGTGCGCGCGCGCCAGATTTTTGAAATGCTATAACTCGGCGAAAAATTGACGTAGCGACACGAGCTAAAAACCAATCTTCTTCGTTTCGCATCCCGCAAATGTCTACACTAAATGTGTATGCCCTTATCATGAAACTTGCACACGTCAGTGGAATAAAAATAAAAATTCTGAAATATAAATTATACGTATAACTGCTAAATATAAAAATTGGCTGACAAACTATATTAAACTGTATAGCAAGATTGCCCAATAAAATTGCAATATTGAATACAGAATAAAGGCTAATGTAACGCCAATGTTACGTATCAATAATTGCACGGTATTGCATTTACATTATTTCCCAATACTACGCCAATACTTTGTGCTATCCGGGCTTTATCCACACTTTATATTATAATTCAACTACAGATTTAATATTTTTATTTTCATTGCAAGAAAGTAATTGCAAAGTAACGATTTGTAACTTTTTGAGTAACAAAGCGTTACTTTGTAACGCGTTACTTTCCATAATTACTAACTTGTAACTGTAACTAGTTACATTTTTAGCGAAAAAACTGTAACTGTAACTAGATACTTTTACGAAGTAACTTTCCCAACCCTGATTTAATGTTATTACGTATATTGTGAAAAAACAGCGTAAAAATGTAAAAATGTATATGTATAAATAATATACAGGGTGTAAGATTCGAAATGAACAATCCCAAAGATTATAGTAGATTGGTTTAAACGAAGAAGAAAAGATATATAAAATTTTACAAAATCGTGATTATTATCGGCCGAATTCATAAAGACGTCTGCGCCAG